GCTACGCCCTTATTCAGGTGGTGCTTTTCTACTAAATTTTGACTATACGAGTGAGGCATGCTGACTGAGACTGAGCATGGGAGACGATTACCCACAATTCCGCAGCATGAGAAAGTGAATAACCATTGGTTCAGTTGTGATGACGTGCGCTCGGCGTCAAAACAAGAAGCGTACGCATGCGCTTCCTGTTTTGAAGCCGAGCGCACTAAAAACAAGAAAAACAAGGAGCGCATGTGTGCCATATGATTTTTGATGATACTTGGCGCTGGTAAACCAGGACTTGCTCGGTTTCCAAGTCAAAATTTATTAAAAATCTTTGCTCGTCTTGCGGAACACTCATAAACCGCGTTACATGTTATCTGAGGTTCCACTGTATTTCATACCACATACATACATCTCATAAGTTATGGGAATTTTCAAAGTTGGAAACATTCCATGGGAATTAACGGGAATAAACTGGAAATTTGCAGTTCAGCCTATAATAGGAAACTTAAATGTAGTTGAAATAAAAACATCTTGACTGCACTGATAATGATACTTAATAAACAAATGCTTGTGAGTAATTACATCGCAAAATAAACATCTGCATCAAAACTTACTGTTTTGCCGTTTCTGACACCACGTGCAGAGTTCCACAGAGTTCAATATTTCCAGCTTAACTTCCCCTGGAAAATTTCTAAAACATTTCCAGAAATTTCCCACCCCCTACTTTCCATGGAAAGTTTCTGGAAAATTACCTGAAATTTTCCATCCCTTTGAAACAATACAGTGAAACAAGAATTTTGTAAATATTCATATTAATTATTCATATTAAATATTCTTTATTCATTTGCCTTCAGACATCAGAACCCTTATTACTCATCAATTGCCAGGTGTACAAGGAATTTCTCTTGGTGCAGGTGTCAACCTATCAATCCAATAAAATTTTAAAAAAATTTTAAAGATAAGAGATACACCATATAAAAACATAAAACTGACTATACACAAGCAAACCACAAACAAATCTATATACAGTGCAACAAGTCAAAGTGCATATGTGCACTGACTTCTTATTCAGGATTACGGCCTGGGATGGACGGCAGCTATGAGCATTGCAATGCGTGCAGCACATATGCAGCAGATAAAAGCAGAGGGACGTCAGAAGGGTCCTGAGGAGAGAAGCTGTGGAGGTGGAGGTCGGTCCAAGTCTTTAGCACACTCACTTTTGGAATGAATAACATTTATCACTAATATACACACGCAAACCACACACCATCCACTATACTGAGGAAACCACAAACTAGTAACTCATCATAGGCAACCATAGGATTCTCTCACAGGGGATGGAAGGAGAGGGAGCCCAACCAGTCATTCATCCAGATCACTGCCGTGCAGATTCTGAGGGGTGGGGGGAGGGGGGACCCCCTTTGTAAATTTAGCATGATCATCTCACACAGCACCTCAGAGCAGGGGCACCTGCCATCGTTTGTGCAAAAGGGGCAGGTGTTCAGGCATCGGCAGCCATGTGAATGTCCCGTACCATCAAGATAGGGCTCACAGTTTTATTTGACTGGACATCATGCCTGACCCACTTTAAAAAAATGAAGATATTTACAATGAATTATTATTGCACATCGATATGACTAACACAGGCCACAATTTCAAATACAATGTTAAAGTATAGTTTAATTTTGTTGAACTTAACACATCCAAACAGCACTTTCATCAGTAGAGGGTTGCATCCTCGGTAAAATTGTCTATGGTTATTATCGACTGACACCACATAGCTAAACTTACGATATGAAAATGCATAACGATACAAGTCGCTTTATGTAAAATAAAGGAATAGCGAGAACAGCTTTGGCGGCGAACATTGAGATTCTTTAAAAATGTATGAGACTAACAGTATCAAGGCAACTACGTCTCAGGCAGCGCAAAAAATTTTGAAACCAAAGAAACAGAAAAGTGTCACATAGAGATGGAGATTCATACTCATAACTCAAGGCGCTAAATGGAGGTGAGAGAAACATTACTGAGTATGACACAAGTCAACTTCCTATTCAACGCCGAGAGCTCCTCGTTCAAACAAAGGCTATTGTAGCTGGCATGTCAAAAAAAGAAATAAAGGAAAAGTGATATATTACCAGTTCACCACAATCTGAGCTGTTATTCCTTGTTCCTTTTTGCACATGCCAACAACAATAATGACTAACAACTTACTGTTTCAATCTTTGTTCCTGGAAATGTCTCGGACCTGATGAACACTGATTAACGCACTTCCATTACATTTTGCATTTGCCTTCTGTGACATATTTGCTTCACTGAAAATATATTAATGCTTTAATTGGTGAACTTTAAAGCCTCCAGTGTCATTCTTCATCTTTAGTTAAATAAGACTGTTGAAAACTACAAACGTTCAGAAGTACAGGTTAAATAAAGGGGGGGGGGGAGGATTGTGAGATATTATACAATATAAATAATCTTATTATGTATCTCATTAATGATGACACTTTTATTTACCATTTACACAGACATTCCGTTTGTCGGTCCAAAGAGTTTGGTTCGAATCCCGTGGTCAGCAATGTAATCATATCACTGCTGGGCCCTTGTTCAAGGCCCTGAACCCCAAATCCTGCTCCAGGACAAATGACCGACCTAAGCTCTTCTCTCACCTGTACATGTCTGAATCTCATAGATGATATATGCGAAAACCAAAGGATTCCATGTAAAGGTGCTGTGAACCGTTATTATCGTTTTAAAGAGATGCGGATATAATATAAGAACGGATACGACTTCTTCCCTTTGAAATTAAATTTGTATTACATTTACAGTATGTTCAGTAAATCACATGTGAACTACAAACTGACAGACGACGGTGTGACCCGGCTTAAGTGCCCTACAAGACATTTAAAGTGCAACTGTAATCATACATAATAATAAATACTGCTTTTTATTGAATTAAAGACAATTGTTACGGAACCACGTCGTGTGGCTGTTTTATGAAATGCTTATGCGCAGAATGCACTTTCAAGGAATTTAGGGATCATCCTTTTTCCTAAACCATGCTGTTCTGCACCCCAATCGGCGACACACGTGGTGTGATCAAAACATAGTTCTTATGTATTACTATTATTAACACTTTATCTGTCCGACATAGAGAATCGCGACGGAGTTATTGCCATCGAGAAAAACCAACCAAATCAGCGAGAAACAAGGAATAAAGCGTTAAAGTTTTCCAGAAACCTCACGCAAATTAGGTCACATTAAAAAGACCAGGAAGCAAACATGAAAATGACTTCTTCCAACAACTTCTCTAGTTTAGTTTGCCAGTCAATTACACTGCGAAAAACCACCTACCTTTATTATTTGATCGTCAATTATTAGAGGACGCACAAACACTAGGACGATCCCCAAAACAAGCACGAGTGATCCTGCGACTGCAAGTCCCACCGCCGCCCTCGATTTGGATGTGGCCATAATGTTGCAATGTTGCCTGTTTGTAGCGCACTGCACAAATAACTGCAATTTGGAGAAATCAATGTCACTATCGTAATATCACTTAAAAAATAAAATTGTCGTTTACATGCTGGTATCTGCACGCTGCGAATATGGTCTCTACCTTAACTGCCAGCCGAATATAAAGAACACAGACAAATATAAAAAAGACCCCGAAATGACCGATCGGGCTGGCAACACGAACAAACTGACTACATGCTTCATTTCATTTATCTTTTAAAGTCCAAGTTTCTTTGATTAAAAAAAACTGTTTGAAGTGGGTGGATTGGATTAGTAGATTTGCTGTCGTGTTTATGGTGTCTAGCATAACCACACCTCTAAGGGAGGATTTCGGGAGTTGCAGTCTTACCTCGGTGCCGTTCTACGGAATCACTGGTTGTGGGGGCTGTTGTTAATGTACAAAAATATACCTTATTTTGTTAAGGCAGGCATCGGATACATCAGTTTTACGAGGCGATTACATTTAACATTGCTATTTTTCAGTGATCACAAATGGGCTGCTTCTACGGTTCACGAGGAAACGTGTTTCCCTCGTGATGTTCATGCACATGCAACAGTCACGAATCATGTTTAAACGTTGTTTTTCAGAATATACTGTTGTATTATGCCGACAAGAAGTGATACGTGTAATTCCGGATTTCCATCATGTATGCTAATTCCTGATGCAGTTCATGGATACTTGAATTATGAATTAATTGCTCCCCTGACACATTTAAAGAGACTTTTTTGTCTTCAGTATTCATTTTTGGAAATCTGTCAGGGCCCAGCCCTGGGATGGGTCCTGAGCTTCTCGGGATAGCCAGCAGGGTATCTGCGACCCTGTAGCTGGTGCATGGATGGATGGATGGTCAGTCATTCAAGGGTGAGCTTGTGCTGAGACTCATTTGAAGGGTAATATCTGTAGCCAAGCCCTTACGTGGAGTTCTCTGGGATCAGTACTCTACCCACTTCTGTACAGAACCCACACATGCTGGTGACAATCTTTACTGACACTAGTGGCAAAGGTTACATGCAGGAGAACAGTACCAGACCTATTTACCTGTGGGATTTCCAAGAGTGTAGCAAATCCACTAGATAAGAGTTTTCTCCAGTACACATTAGTGTTATAAACTTTTCTGTGGCTAAAAAATCTAGACAAAAAAAAATAATCTAAGGTTTAATTTATGCTAATGTATGACTTCTAACAGGACCCTCAATGATATTTTGGTTTGCATGACAATTTATGAATTATTGCATTTGAGTACCTGAGACTGCATATATGCATCTATTGAATTCATATTTTTTTGACTAAACACTGGTGTTTATATATTAATTAGATGCATGTGATGAACAAAAATGAAGATATGCATGTTCGTCGGACATGGAGCAGTGATGGGATTAAACGTTTTTGGCTCAACAGCAAGTACTATGGACACACAGTCATGCCTTATGAGTTTGATTCCTGCCACAGCAGTGTGTGTGTGTGTGTGGAGTGTAAGAAAATGTTACCAGTTCAGACCACTGTATGGCTGCATTCTTTTTTTGTGATCACCCCATTAAAATTTTCCGAGAAGTTTAATATCAATACTATTCAGTGGACTCTCCCTGCTGGCCCCTGGAGGATGGGCTCCCTCTTTGAGTCTGGTCCCTCCCAAGGTTTCTTCCTTCTCGGGAGTTTTTCCTTGCCACTGTTGCCTCTGGCTTACTCACTGGGGGCTTTGGGTGGGGATGCTGTAAAGCGCTTTGAGACGTAATGTGATAACGCGCTATACAAAAATAAATTTGTGGTTGTTGTTGAAATTACAGGCAGTCTTAAAGTGATTCTCTTGCTGCAACATTGCTTCACCTCCATCAAAAAAAGTACTGAGTGATCGGGGTATTGGGGCTGAGCCCATGTTATTTGTATGCAAATACAATGAAGACTCCTGAACTCATCCTTCCCTTCTGGATGCCATGATCATAGGCGAAAGCAGAATAACAGATTTGGGAATTAATGGTAAATTGTCCATTTTGATTCCATTGTAAAAATTTAAATATTTTTATATTGGTGTATTTGTTGTTTTGACACAAGGGTACTTGGGTGTATTAAAAGGTAATGTTGCAATACCTGTGGAACAAGGTTGACCTGAGAAAGACAAGCCAACTACAGGACAGAAATGTTACATTTTCACAAGTGCTTTGTGATCTCCATTATTGGCCTTAACAAGATTGATTTTCAAACCCAGAATCAGAATTGGGTTTATTACCTAAATATGCTCACACACACAGAATATAGTCCTTTTGTCAGTGACTCTCCTGTGTACTTACATGTCAAGTCGACATATATACTAGATCCATACACAGTTAAGACAATCGTTACATACAGTCCAGTTGATACACACAGCATGTACAGCCAGGGGAAAAAAAAATGAAGAGACCACAGCACAATTTTTTGTTTCACTCATTTCTCAATTTATGAGTGTGCATCTGTGATTTTTTTTTCTTTGCAAACTGCTGCCTGGCCTTTCTCTGCTTCTCATTGATGAAGGGCTTCTTCCTTCCTTTATGGGACTTCAGTCCTGCTTCTAGGAGCCTGATATGAACTGTCCTAGCAGTGCACTTCACACCTGCACTTAATGTTTCCAGTTCTTTTTGAAGGTCACTTGATGTCATCCTACGATTCATGAGAAACTGTCATTAGAAAGTCGCTTCCACCGTTTAGCTGGCTGGTTTCTGGTCATCCCCAGTGTCTCCTCAAATTGTTCTTGGGTACTACCGTCTTAGAAGTTTTGAACCTGGAAGCAACCTGCTGCTCAGCGTAGCCTTCTGCCAGGAGAACCCCCAGTTAAACCAGTATTTAGAAATGCAAATTATTTAAAAAATATGTAGTGGTCTCTTAATTTAATCCATGGCTGTATATGTCAACTTAATGATATTCAGCTGGATGAATCCATCCCACCAGCTTGTATTACTTCTGTTTTTGACTCTGTAACCAGGCACTAGAATGGGAAACACCCTGGACTGGACACCAGCCAGTTTTAGGGCACATGCAAACCAACATTCTGTGGGCAATTTAACATCTTTCGTCAGCAGGAGGAAACCAGAGTACCCAGAGGAAATAATTTCTGGTAGGTTTTCCACCATACCATCCCCAACTGGATGCTAGAAACCATATTGTCCTCATGAAAGAATAATACTTTAAATCATTTTCCCCCACAACCTATTTGCACCATTTTGTCAGAGTTGCTTAGATTGCATTTCCTTTAGCCATGTAAATAAATACCATCAATATAGCTACAAGTGTGATAGTGTTGCAGAAAAATAACCTCAGCACTAGATACTTGGATGAAGCAGGTTATGTAACCACAGGCTTCAGGGCCAAGGGGATCCCAATACAGAAAGAGTTGGATGACTTGAAGGGTACTTTATATCTACAAGTAGACATTCTTCTGCATGTTACCTTTAAGAAACATTTCTCTTGACCTACCCATTAATGCATTATGTGCAATCCATCGCAGTAAATGGACAGAAATACATAGTTACACTCATACTATAATTTTCAGATGGCTACTTTCAGTGGCTAAAACAAAACAAACAAAAAAAAAGACAGGATTTGAACAGTAAATACATAGGTCACATGACTGAAGGGGGCGGGGAGTATGACAATAGTAAGGACCCAAGTGACAGGGGCTCTAAAAATCTGCAACAAAATAGGATTAGTCTGGGTTGGGGGCCCAGAAATTGGACACCCCTAACTGGAAAACCCTGACTCAGGATAAACAGATGTGTGTGGATTGACACTAAAAATGTTAAGTACCAACCTCGACATCGTCAGCTACACCCCAATGCTCATACGTCAACTTGAATACTGAAAGATTAATACTGCAAAAACAGCCAACAGAAATGCATCCTGCTCCTTCCAAAAACTATTGTTCAGGTGCCATCTAGTGGCATTAAACCAGCTTCAATTACCAACACGCCACCACAGTAGGTTAGCTGGGTCAGTGACATTTCATGTACTTACCCCATAAAATCTCCACATTAAAACATAACCTAAAACCCAATGTAGTTTAATATAGGGTAGTAAAATTAATCAGCTATTAAGAATTTCAATGCAACAGCCTAGCAAGGCAGTAATAATGGAGTATATATATATAAAACCCATCTTATAATATAGCAGCAAATTAGTGTGGAGGACCCATGGCAATACCATAAACCATGTAAAAGAATTAGAAAGAGGCCAGATGAGTACATCTTATTATCCACAGTTCTAGGGAACTTGCCATACTAGTCGGTCCAAGATTTTCACCCTAATCTGGAAGAAAGACAAGAGCAGAGTTTCAGGAATGCTTCAACTTTATTAAGGGAAACTGAGTGAAGTGAAATACAGGGAACAAAGACATCAAGCCATAAGACCAAAATGGTTGCTTAGTTGCCACCACGAAGACGGAGGACCAGATGAAGGGTGGACTCCTTCTGGATGTTGTAGTCGGACAGCGTGCGGCCATCTTCCAGCTGCTTGCCAGCAAAGATCAGCCTCTGCTGGTCAGGGGGGATGCCTTCTTTGTCCTGGATCTTGGCCTTGACGTTCTCAATGGTATCACTTGGCTCCACCTCCAGGGTGATGGTCTTACCAGTCAGGGTCTTCACAAAGATCTGCATCTTCACACTAGAATGACAAGACCAAAAGATCTTACCTTTCTTCCCTTAACAAGAGACATTCAACATTGTATTCACATGACAGAATCTCAAAGGGTAATCTGAATCAATGTAGAGTACACGTCAAGTATATTACTACCACTTAATTAGAAATACTGTGTTTAACAAGAAGCTAGTCCAACTTGGCCCTCGTCAGAACCGGTTTTACGACCTACATGCCAGTCCTCGATTACTTCATGCAAGCATGAGCAATCATTGCAATACGTCAGTCACGCGCCAGTTCATTCTCGGTTAAACCAGCAGTTTCGTTCAGACGCCCGATCATGGGGCATTTCCGTACAATGGAGCTGTAATGGCGCCCAGCTCCTCCCATCGGGGGCTTTACAGTCGGCAGCCACAAACACAGCTCCCTCCATTTTGTAACAGTCGCCATTATCTCGCCTACCAACTACCTAATTATATTCGCCATTACTCAAGCTAAATACTCATTTATATCTATATCATCTCAAAAAATTGAATTACGGCACACAGAGAGATAAGCCAGAGTTACTTGACGGTTTGTCTAATTTTTCTGAGGACAAGGATTCACGGAAACTGCTGAAGGATGTCTTCATTGAAAAATGCCATTTTGACGGCCAGTCAATAATGAGAAACGTGTTCATTTAGTGAGACTCGCAAAACTACGTAGCACATAAACGGAGAACAAACGCGACCATTTCAAAAGCTTCAAAATAATTAAACGAAATATCCAAACAAATTATAAAGGAATTCTAGAGGATGACCAGCCAGGAACACATTACATACACTACACAGTATATTATTTCTTTATACTTACAGTTTTACTTCTGTTCCGTTTTATAAAACACAACGTATACTGCACCAAAACAGGAACCGTCTGCGACAAAACAAAGGGCTGTCGTATTTATATGGACACCGGGTATCCCTCCGCCTCGGTACCCGGAGGGACTATAAGATTATATTTGTCTAAAGCTGTAATTTAAACGTTTGTTTACCGATCAGACACATATTTTACATATATAAGCTTAGCTTTATATTAATATAAACAAATAATATAATGTGCTTCAGGCAGAAAAAAATGTATTGTATGGTTACCGTATGGCGGAAGGAGAAAAAAGATGAAAAAACGTTCTGCGCCCGTGTCTTTTTGTTTGAATTTTATGAAAAATAGTAGCTAGGGGTGGGGTGATTAAAAACAACTCGATTTTCCGTTTCCTGGTGAGAAATATATAGGGGTTGTATTTTACGTGTGGCTAACATAATACACAGCAAAGAAATGGAACAAATGAAACAAGAAAAATAGAATAGTTACGATGTGTGTTATGATCAACGACAGCGCAGGTTCGCTGTCATTTCTGTCGCTGACGCCGCATTACCGCATAATGCGAGGTTCATAGCTGGAAGCTGAGACCGAGACGAATATCCACATTACCCTATTTTATTCAGAATCATATAAATGGCAGTGAGTCACAGGGGATTTCATTGACTTTCATTGGTGTCCGGGTTGAATGTGTTACTAATATGTAATGTACTATTTTAAAAAGCCATATACTAGTCTTACATATGACGGAGTTTGGTGGGATTATACATAACTTTTTTTTTTTATTATTATTATTGCTTATAGGCCTACACGACGTATTATTGGGCCATTGTATACTTACTGTAGTGGAAACAAGATACTTATGCGTTTCGCAATCTCACATAAAACCAAAAATATTTTCTGATATTTTTGTTTTAATTCAGGTTTTGTTTCGTGTATGTGCGTTAATGATGGGACAGCTTACATGTGTAGGTTTTTGTGTGGACATTATTCGTCAAAAATATGTATCAATACAGTTCTGAATAATATATGCGTGATAATCCACCACATTATAAATAATGATTGTAAAGCACAGAATGCAAATTATGCTGATACAATAACAATTAAGCAGTGTTTCTGAGGAGGTGATAAAATGAAACCTAACAGGTTCTTCAAGTGAGTACAGCAGGAAATAAAACCAGTTCGACAAACCAATACAAATTCAATTTTAATGAATGTGCTTTAAAACTGTACTTGAAAACAGGAAAAATATGTACAGATTTGATTAGTTACTGATATGTATATGTACACAGGTAAATGCATACTTTTGTGTGTGTACTCACACACACACGCACACACACAGAGTAAAAAAAAAAAAGACACTGTGCATCCATACCAGTAATTCCTTCAGGCACTATGTACACTGGAATATCCCAGCTGTCATTTGTTGAATTTGAGAAGAGAATATGTATGAAGTACAAGGTTTACAACATAGAATTTAGTGCAGAATTTGCTGCTGAAACAGTTTGAACAGTAGTCATTACTATTCCTCATTTCAGCCAGTTTAGTACCCTGCAAATCCCACAAACGAGTTTTTAAAAAAATGCAACTTGAATTATAAAGTTATGTATATGATTTTTATACAAAATTCCAACACAAAATGCAGTTAATTCTGCTCAGGCACCTATAAACTAAACAGTTGAAATTACTGCTGACAGACATGTACACTAAATGTATCTCGTATCTCCTACAGTAAGGTGAAATTTTAAAAATATTCCAGCACCTTTCTTACTTTCCTGCCAAACAAACATTTTGAGGTCACAGTCTTAAGCTCTGACATACGTTGTACAGTGGGGGGGCCTGACACGTAAGGGCCACAATGGGCCACCTACTTCTTGTGCTGCTTTTCCAGCTGAAGACTTCATTTTGTTTATGGGAACCCAAGGCCACAGTTCAGGTGTGGCTCCTGTGCAAATTCATATATTCACAGTGATACTGAACTGCACCTGAAATCAAGCCGTTCTTGAACAAATGAAAGTAGCAGCAACAGTTTCTGCTCAGGTAAGCCATGTAACAGCTGTCTTTTGTTGCCTTTCTTGTAATTCCTAATATTTATACATTTCAACATACAACATATTAGTTTACCACATTGATTTCATGGAAATTTCAGCCATTACTATTGTTGTAATTTATATTTTTCAAATGTGTTCTGAAAGACTTTTAGGGATCATGTATACAAAAAAAAAATTCCACATTCTAACTGCCTGTTGGACCAAGCTTGGCCGTTTCCTTGGCTACATTAACTGGATACATCACTAAACAAAAAAGGACAAAATTGACAGGCTGAATTAAAGACAGGTTCCTCACAATGATTAAAAAAAAAATCCAGAAAAAAAGGGAAAAATTACAGTTCAATGAAATGTACCAAACTCTGAACTTTGTATAAGATTAGTCGTATTATCTAACAAAATATACCTAGCAATATTAATCTATTCAATATTCATTTAATCAAGGTTATTAACAGAAAAGATCATGATAGCATAAGTAGAGAAAAAAAGTATAAAAGGATGAAAAGTACAAAACTGAAAGGTGATGAAAATATATAAAAATTATGAAAATAAAATCAGCAGTGGGACATTTTGAGTCGACTGCCTGATGACAGGAGGTTGTCAGTGCATGGAGTGCTGGGCCGGGACAGTGCCTGAGGCCCGATTGTGAGGTTGACCTGGTAAGAGGTGTTGATATTCCAGAACCTTTTCACCTCTCTGTGTTGGAGTTATTTAGGTACACCTGAGAGGAGCAAAGAGGAAAGCAGGGGATATTTATTAAAGAACTGTACAAACAGCACATGTTCCAGTGACACAACCAGGAATAAAAAACTGGTACTCAGCAGGCATTCAAAGATACTTCTGCAAAATTAACAAATATGGCAGTATACAATGTACAGGTTATGTGACATATTATATACAGATGCTCCTTGCTTTACAATGTTTTGAGTCCGACTTGCGATATTTTCAACTTGTGATAGGTTTATTGGAATATAACCGTATTGTAATTCGCATCTGCATATCCCCAAGAAAGGTAACCATTACAAACTTACCGCAGGCTGCCCTTTCAAACTGGCTGGTGTCTTAAAGTCTCCTCTCAACACCTGGCAACAAATATGGGGCACGATCAGGAACACCAGGATTCCAGTTCTCCTGATAGAGGATTTCAACTCCAGCATTTACAATATGTTGGACTAGGTTGAATATATTTAATCTCTGCTGCTTGGGGTGAACTTCAACAGCCTAAAAAGTAGTACGGCACAGTCCCTCAGAAAAACAACTGGGGTACCTGGTATATGTCAAAGGTCTGCTGTTAGAGTGCAGGTATAAACTAATTTATCATTACACATGTATGCATATTGTTACACATCTACTGGGGCAGATGTGAATTTTACACCACAGGCCTGTTTGCGGCTGGCCCCCCCTACCCTCTCGGTGTTGTTGACCACCACTGGGTCCGGCTGGCCGTAGGCCGGGGGATTGGCGTTTGGGTTGTAGCCCAGTTGGCTCAGCATAGGGGCAATCTCAGCCATGTCTGCCAGGACGTCAGCGGGGATGTGGCCCACCCAGCGTGTGAGGGCCTCCATGTTCACTGGCTTGATCACCTGGTCTGTGGAGCGCTCGATCCTAAAGGAAGGGGGGGAGGGGGGTTATGATAATGTGCCCACAGCAACTCAGTGACCGGCTAGCAGGAAAACTCAGACAGGAGACTGATTTCAGGCCTATCTTTGTATGTATTACCATTACAGTCGGCTCCCTTATTGTCTTTCATAATAAGTGTGAAACAAGCTAATCTAAACACAATGGGCCATTTCTATGCTCCGCACAATGGCTGGCAGCCTCCCCAGTGTGCTAAAGATTTAACCAGAATCTCTATCTATGTGCAGAGACCATGTGTCATGCTGGGATCGTTCCCCACGCTTCCTGAGGGTGAGCTACCACGTCCCGTTTTAAAATGACCAGATCTTTTAAAATCAGACTCGGCAAAAAGGAGCCGGGGACAGTGGTTTGCGTGCGCGAGCATAGAGCTACCGCAGCTGTTAGGCGACTGTTTAAGAGGATTTTCAACTGGTCAGAAGAGTACAGTGCACTGAGTACCAAACTGGTTATGACTGGAAATCCACCACTGTAGTACAGAGGGATTCGTAAGTAATGGATTCATAAATGACGTAATCTTAAACCATCCCATTACTGTAAGCATCATATGAATACAGATGCTCTGTGGGTTATGATGGGGTTACATTCCGATAAACCTATCGTAAGACAAAAAACATCTTAAGGCCAAAATGCATTTTAAAACAGTACACCTAACTTAAACATCATAGCCCAGCCTAGCCTACCTTAATCATGCTTAGAACACTTACATTATTCTACGGTTGTGCAAAGTCATTAACAGAAAGTGCACCCAGATCCAGGCATACGCATGTGCGCACGGTCTTACCGTGACAGGGACACGCCTCCCAGCTGGCCAATGGCCTCCTCGTGGTGCAGCACGCCCTCGTGCCACGGCACGTCCAAGAAGCGCAGCACCGCCTGCAGCGTGGCGCGCGGCTGCAGCACCAGGCTCTCGTAGCGCACCGTCATGCAGCGGGCCGAGCCCACCTGCACGCACTGCGCCAGCATGGCCTCCACCGCGCGGCTCCATTTGCTCAGGCAGTCCCGGTAGCTGGACAGGTCGAAGCCCGCAATCGTGACACGCCGGGAGATCATGGAGTGCACGGCTGCCCGGCCATCACGCAGCATCAGCAGGAACTTGGAGCTACATGGGAGGGGGGGGGGGGGGAGGGGGCAAGGGAGGGGGGCAAGGGAGGGGGGCAAAGGAGGGGGGGAAAAAAGGTGGGAGGGAGAGGTAAGCCGGTAAGCATAAGTGACTGAGTAAGGGGGTGGGAGGTATGGAGAACTGGGGGGGGACTAAAGTAAAGGGTAGAATTATCAAGTAAGGAGGGAGATCAGAAGACAGGGAACAATAACTTAAAACGTGTTAATAATAAGGGTGACTGCTGAGGCTGTTTTATACAGATGAAAGAGAGAAAGAGAGAGCAGAACTGAAAGTGTGCATCAAAGAGTACAGTTTCGGCCACAGAAAACAGGCCAATGGGAGAAAAGGCTTAGAGAGCTGACTAATACAAAGTGAAAAAAGCGGAATAACAGGACAGAAAGCTGGCGTGGGATAAGACAGACCAGAGGCTGATATAAAGCACAGAGCAAGCTGACACAGCAAAATGTTACGTAAAGCATAGAAAACAAGAGTTACAACAAGATAATACAGAGAAGAGGTCAATAAGAAGGTCTAGTGCACAGAGAGCAGTGTAATGAGTAGGCCTGTAGACAAAGTGGGACAATGCCACAGACATCCCAGCACGCCCGGACATTCCGGGAATCTCCCTCATGTTGACAGTAGCTCCCTGATTTCCTCAAATTATATACAGTATCCTGGACATTTGTTTTTTTTTGGAGCGAGAGCATGAGAGCAAGAAAGCAGAGACTCCAGAGCTTATCTAGAATCTTTGGAGAAGGAGAGTGGGCATCAGGGAGCCGCTATCAACATGCAGGAAGATCCCAAAATATCCAGAAGAGCTGGGATGTCTGATATAGAGAGCAGAGCAGGTAAAAAGGGCAAAGAAAGACGGCCGATATGAAAGACAGAAACCAGGATAACAGCATAAAAAGAGAACACAGCGTATTCATAAATTACAGTAGCATAACACAGCTTAGAGACAGAGTATGGTGAGTAGGCTAATGCAGAAAGCAGCATAACACAGCTCACAGACTGAGTATGGTGAGTTGGGTAATGCAGAGAACAGCCTAACAGCTCACAGACAGAGTATGGTGAGTAGGCTAATGCAGAGAGCAACATAACTGCTCACAGACAGAGTATGGCGAGTAGGCTAATGCAGAGAACAGCATAACAGCTCAGAGAGAGCATGGTGAGTAGGCTAATGCAGAGAGCAGCATAACAGCTCACAGACAGAGCATGGTGAGTAGGCTAATGCAGAGAGCAACATAACTGCTCACAGACAGACAGAGTATGGTGAGTAGAGTAATGCAGAGAGCAACATAACACAGCTCACAGACAACAGAGTATGGTGAGTAGAGTAATGCAGAG